CTCTGCCATTAATTCACTTGATGTTCTTCAGCAAATCACTCCATCACATTTTCCATCTCTAACCTCTACCTTCAGGGCCGGGCGCAGCATCTGGAACCCTCAGGCAGGTGCTGAGGCCCACAGACCAGAGGGGGGTTGGGGCACTGTCACTGAGATTGAGCCTTCCTACATGCCTGTTCTCCCAGCTGTGGGCTAACTTTGTGCCAGCAGCTGGATCTGGGAAGCTGCCTGCCATTTTAAATGTCCCACAGTGCCCTGCAGCGACACTAGGGAACTGCGTGAAATTTAGAACAGCAGGCAGCTCACAGTCATTTGGCACAAATTGTGGAGCTTCTGCCTCTCGCTGTGGGTAAGCCTGCTGTGGTATTTTGCTAGGGAGTCCTCACACCTGGAGTTAGCATATGGGGGTCCTTGTGGCTTTACACGGTTGCTGCAAATATTACAATATCGGAAAAGTGATTTGAACACTCTTAACTGCTATATAAATGCTAAGTATTATTAAAGGGCCATCCACAATCTTGGAATATATACACTTTTCCCCCTCCCTGCCCAGTCTGTCAATAAAAGCCTGCCAAGAACTCATGGCAAAGCAGTGGTGTATTTCGTGCTGGTGTTCCATTCCACCATTTTGATTACGTGTCATTAGTTAAAAATTAACAAGTGGAACTCTTTAGGGCTGCAGTCCGGAATCCACTCACAAACAATCCTGGTACTTTAATTGTTAAGTGGTTTCAAAACTGTGGTTTTATTAGGAGCCCGAGGCTTAGAGGTGTTACACAGAGAATGTGCGCCTGTCGGAATTGTGACAATAGAAAGCAAATCCACCCTTAAAAATAATCCGCAATATTGGCACTCCAGACCTTTAAAAAGCCCATTTAATAAGATCCAGATTTGTCTTTAAAAATATCTTGGAGCTCCCTTGAAAGGGCTGCACGCCGGGCTACTGCCTAAACAAAATTGATCAATTTAAACAGCTGTGGTAAAGCTGCAGCCATTGGCACCGTCATTAACAATTTAAAGCATGGCTGCCTTTATCTTCCTTCCCAGTTACACACTCATTATACTTGCTTTTATTTATTAGAAATCAAGTCCACTGCAATATGTTTCTGTTTCTTCCGTCCAAACTGAACACAGCTCGTGAGATCGCAGCTCTTGATCATTCCACGGAAGACACGAAGGTAGCCGCTCACATACTTCACATCCAATCTCTTTCACTTTAAGCATATAAGTATCAATCTTTTTAAGAAGAGAAAATCCAGCTCAAGGAAGTACAGAACAAAGAATTGCTCTACCAAACCCCTTCTTTTCAGTGACTTTGAGCCATACCTTTCAACACTGTCCAGGAATAAATCAAGTGTTTTTGTTTTTTAAAACCTATTCAATTATGCGTCAGTACTGCCTAGTGCTATTCTTGATAGAATTTCTTGAGCCAAGTGGATAAAAAATAATCTCAGGATGTGTCTTGGAAGAAGAAAGGAGGACAATAATATTAACCTAATAGATATGGGAAATAACAATGCTGACAGGTACTTGCAGACCTGAAATGAATAACAGCACTTGCACCCACAACAGACACTGGCTGTGTCTGGACATTATGGTCGACTATGGATTATTGTGAGAGGACTGAGCCTAGGTGATCCTCAGTCCATGCACGTCTTCTCCCATCTCCTCCTCCAATGCAGCTTTCAGTCAGAAGTTCTCATTTCTGATTTCATTTAACCAATGTTTACAATGTCCTGTCTGTGGTTGATCTTACATATCATTTGTTGAAACAAGTCAGCTTCAACCATGGGTTTCAAGAAACCGGCTTCATAACCATGGTTGAAGCTGACTTATTTCAGCAAGCCATAGTTAATACTACCTATGTTGATTGGGTTCAGGTGCAACAAACTGTTTTAAACGCAACAACTTCAGAATTCCTCTTTGTAGCCACATCTGAGAAGAGAGAGGGTGGGACTAGCAGGGGTATTGTGACTTTTTCCAAACACAATAAATGAATGCTTATCATTATGTACAAACACAGCCACTAACTGTTTCTTGTTGCTGTTTGCAAGCCCAAAAGCGGCTGAAATTAATTTACGTACACACTGCCAACTTTACTAACATCAGTCTTGTTAACTTCAAATTCTATACTGAAATCTCACCTGGAGGTTATAATGGTGCTCTTTCCATCATCTAACTATTTTAAAGTGTTGCGCAAGTGTTTGGTGCAAGTAGATTAAACAGTACTCTTGAATGTGGGAACCCAGCCTCAAGATCCCGGCACTTTCTGGGTGGATTCGCGTAGCCTCAGTTGCCCCACCGGGTGGTTGAAGGACTAAAACACCATGCTGATCTCCTTGGAAGAGAGCTGGAAGGATACAGATTAATGAATATACAAATGTTCAGTCCAAGTCAGAGGCGCGCTTGCACTGGGAGGTGGGGGGTGAATCAAATTTATGATCTGATGTGGATTAAACAAGAACTTCCAGTAGGAAAGTCACATTTACAGAGCACAGCTACCTCTGAACTTGAAATGTGAAGACCTAAAATGCTTCCCAAATGAAATCAATTAATCCTCCAACCGTGATAAATTCCTTAACCATTTGAGAGACAGATATTTCAGACTCTCTGACCCTTTATCACCAGACCTAATGGACTACTTTATTAATAATGTACTGCTCTTAAAAGGAACATTTTTTGAAGATTCTGTAGTTCCACTGTTTCATAAGAGCTGCTACAGCGAAGAGATTGATATTTTATCATCTCTTGTGAGTGCAACATGAACACTGAATGCAAGTCCATAGAAAGATAGTGTCTATATCCCTGCATTTCAAAGATTCTTCCATACTACAGTTAAAAGTAAACCTTTAAGTGCATACTTTTCATACACATTCATCCCCCTTCTCCAGTGATTAATGCTAAAACAGAGTATCCAAGCTGATCCCAACAGCAACATCTGGGAATTAAGAGCACAACTTGAAGGAGGGATCCAACCTCAGGTTTTATTTATTATGTGTTTGTTCTCTAGAAAAGTTCTAGGAACTGGGTTTGCAAGCATAGCCAGTCAAATGATGGCTGACATCCAACAACAGCCACACGCATGCAATTGCCGTTGATTCAAATGAACCTTAAGCATAGCCCATAATCACAGGATTACAGCCTTGATGTTACCTTAAAATAAAGGAAAGTCTATTCCAATCAATCTTTTCAATGGCATGCCAAGCACTTGACAAATTTAAGCTCACTCTTCCTCACAACCACTCTCTGAATATTCCAATGTTTAGAGTACGAGACAGAAAATATTTACTTGCTCACTGTAACCTAGGAAACCTGTGGCAAAGTTGTGCTTTGAACCCAGGTCTTACAAAGCAAATTCTCTGTCCAGCTCTCTGCTGTCACCTGTATTCATTGTTATGGCTCTTAGAACACCTCATTTTCCTTTTGGGTGGAGAAAATAGATTGGTTAAAGTACCACTGACTCAAGACCCTGAGGAATAAATTTCTGTCCAGACATACTGTATGCTTCATACATGTGAACTGCCTGTTCTAAGACTGTTGTTCTAAAAAGACAGCGCTGCACTTAGGGTGGGAACCCAAAATAGCTATGTTTTTAATCACATACAACTATTCAGTTTATTACATTCAGACATGTGCCATCAGCCTTGTTCACTCATGTTAGGTTGACTTTTACTTTTAAACCAAGAATTACTTTTAAACCAGTACTACCAGTTTGACATTTGAGAATCCCCAATATTTAGTGATTAAACTGAATTGTGTGTTCTTCTAAGATGTTGTGATGTTACTACCACTACATAAGCGAGATGTTTTGGTGGCGTTCCTTTATGCTATACTAGAACGACAAACTTATCTATTTCTGCTTTTACCGCTGCTAAAACTACCTTTTCTTTTCTCTTTTCTTTTCTGGCATTGCCAATGATAAATACAATTAATAAACTGATACTCTTAACACTCATTTTTAACAAGGTATCTTCATTCTTCCTAGTAGACTGCATAATTTTCTGAACTAGGTACATTACAGAGTCCCTCGGCAGCAATGTATTTCTAATTCTTTTTGCAATTTGCCGCAGGTAATTACAGATAACTTTTACCAGGAGATATCCTGGAAATGCATCTATTCCAAGGCAAAGAGATTTATCATTATAGGAGGACTGGTGGGACGCACAATATACAGAAGTGCCTGTTCAATGGCTCCATAATGTTGCACATGCATATCGTTTTCTCAAAGTAGAAAGCAGTCAGAGTGGTGCTTAAGGTGACATTTTAGAGTGAGTCACTTGCTTTCCCCCCTCATCCATTTCTTCACTATCAATACACCAGATATCTCCCATTCCCACATTTCAATACCGTCAACACCCCACTTCAGGTTTGTTTTTACTCTGTAAGTGCCTTCTTAAATGCCCATAAGTGTGCTGCTAATGGTATCTTACATCAAGTGGATTGTCCCTTCTTGATCAATTTATCTGCAAGCTTTGACTTTCACTATTATTAGAGAAATCTACCCCAACGTCAAGTGCCTGGAGTTCTCTAACTAATCTTGATGCTTCCTGCTACTGTGACCTTTGTTCTGTTCAAGAGCTATGGATGCTACAATATGCTGATCAATGTCTTGCTCTATAACTGGCCGATGTTTCCAACTGCTAACAACCTTCATCCGTATCTACTCTCCTTTACATATTGTTACTTTTACTTTTTTTAAAAAAAAACATTCAAGAAAAACACAGTGCTAACTAAATAGTACAACTAAATAGTACGCCTAAGTAACACCAGCGATTTACGCCTTCTGCAATTCCAAAATGAAATGAATTAGAAGCATCAAACTGAAATCTACATGCAAAGGCTGAATTTTCCATCTGAAGATTCCAACACTAGGATCTTAAACTCAAATACAGGATTTGGAGATTAGGTATAAATAGTGCTTTTCACAGAATCATAGAATTGTAGAGTTGGAAGGGACCACTAGGGCCTTCTAGTCTAACCCCTGCAATGCAGGAATTATTTGCCCAACGTGGGGCTCTAACCTATGACCCTGAAATTAAAGGTTTCATGCTCTAACCACTGAGCTATCTTTTGCAAAAGTTTATGCTCCTGATGAAGTGATTTTGGGGGATATGCTTACGTCTCATGACAGGTGAATATATTTGGAATTCATGTACCGTATTGGCCCGAATATAAGCCGCACCTTTAAAATTCAAGGGGGGGGGGGGAGAAAAAAGACAATACCCGAATATAAGCCTCTGCCTTAAAATTCCACAGGCACTCACACCCATTCCATTTTACCGTATGTTTGTTTCAGCAGCGAAATCGTAAAAGCCAATTTTTGTAAGGTCGCAAATTTAAGCCGTACTTTAACTTTTCGATGGTCAGAATTTGGAAAAAAAAAAGTGAGGCTTATATTCAGGCCAATACGGTAAATTTGGAATTTTATTTAAAGTTCTGGAGACTCCATTTAGGAGCAAAATTCAAATATAAATACCAAATTTAAATGAATTCCAAATATATTCACTGTCATGGTGACCATTTGATCTAAGCTGTTGACCAGCTTTTTGAATGACCAACTCATTTGACTTCCCTTGCCCATCAGACCTTATATACAAACAGGGACTGGGCAGCTTCAGGGTTTGATCTTTCTTTGCAGTTCAGGTTTCTGCTATTTCATTCTCTTCTTGGTATTAACGGGTGTAGAGGTTTGCACCATATTGTAAAATAAGTATTTTGTAAAGGACTGCAAAAGCAGTTAACCTGCCCGTTCCTCTAAAAATTATTTGATATTCATTACTCCAAGTATCCAGCTTCTGGCAAACTCCCCCCTCCTCAAAAAAAAAAATATGTAAACAATGTGGTCCAAGGCTATCAGCAAATCAAACTAGGTAGTAGAGGCAGAGTAACTGTCAAAGTTCCTTTATTAAGGAATGGTTTTAAAACAGATTTATCAAAGCACTTGAGTTTAACTTGATATGTGGTTATTTAATTTGGCGGCTGGAGTGGGGTGGGAGTTCTATTATTTCTGAACTGCACTCCTCACTTACCCCTTTTACATATGAAACAATGTTTCTAAATTCCTGCACATAACTTCATTTTGTTTTCCTTCATGTATTAATTAGATTACACCACCACCCAAAAAATCTAGCAGAGATCTCAGGCACTGTTATGCAAGTCCTATCGATTTCAGAAAGACCATCATGTCATGAAATATATTTTTTTGGCTTTGATACCAAACTCCGTCTCAACGGTGCAACACCTCCAACTAAGTTTGAACTAAAAGAAACAACAAGAAACTCCAACCATAGAAGATGTTGCTTTCATCTGAACACTTGAAACTCTGAAGGGAAACAAAGAAATTAGTACAGTTATTGTGGATGAGTAAAAAAATAAGGTCAGCCTGCCAAATATTTCTTACTCACATGGAGGTTTGGGCCTGATCCTAATCATGTGTACTTGGAAGCAAGACACATAGGCTACAATGAACCTTCCTTTCTAATAATAACGTTTAGAATTATAAGCCAACAGCATAATTTATGCACTGCTTTCATTGAGCTTACTCTTCAGTAAGTGTGCATAGCATTGCAACCTCAGTACTCTTATGATGTGCTTCCTTATGTATGCAGAGCTTACTCTCATGTAACTAAATTTGTTATGTGATTTTTATACACACACACACACACACACACACACACACCATCTGTTCCATGAACAACAATAGGTAAAAAGGTAAAGGATCCCTGGACAGTTAAGTCCAGTCAAGGGCGACTATGGGATGTGGCGCTTATCTTGCTTCAGGCCGTGGGAGCCGGCATTTGTCCACAGACAGCTTTCCGGGTCATATGGCCAGCCTGACTAAACCGCTTCTGATGCAACGGAAGCCAGAGCCTACGGAAACACCATTTACCTTCCCAATGCAGCAGTACCTATTTATCTACTTGCACTGGTATGCTTTCGAACTGCTAGATTAGTAGAAGCTGGAACAGAACAACGACAACAATGTTCATTCAGCAAGTGTCTAACATCAGCAAGCACTTTGAAATACCTTTGCTAATTCTGCCAGTTTTTTCAGGGGAAAAAGAGTGGTCTGACAGAGATGCTGTTGCCTGTGGTGTGTGCACTCATCCCTTACTGGCTCCAGGAAACAGGATTTGCAGGTTTTGCAGTGCTTCAAATACCTGAAACACCTCTTCAACCAAAAGCAACACCGCGACAAAAGAAGTAAGTGGAGTTTCTGGGGTGCTTAACAAAAATGAGTGATACCACTTTTAACTCTCTGCAAAACTGCTATCTCTAACCTACACTAATCTATACTAAATAACTATTTTGTTCATAATTTTAAACCACTTTGTTATTTGAAGCTGTATCTACCGATTATTGAAAAGAGGCTAGAACAAATGTTGTTGGACGACTTACTTTTTAAGCACCAGGGCATTTTCATAAAGTCAAACAGAACTGGTAGAAAAACTTCTGCCATCACACATGTCCGGTTAATACAAAATTTTAGATGGCAGCTTTTACTCGTGCATATGACTGACAGCTCAAACTAAGAATTTTAGAGACATTGTAATACACTTATATAAACATCAAAGGAGTTATAAAAATACAGTAAGGTTGCATACTTTCCTGAGAGTACGTCTCACTGAACTCTGTGGAACTCTCTTCTAAATAGATATGCATAGGACTGCACCGATGTAAAGCATTGCACTGTTAAACTTATATAAAGCAGATCAAAAGTGTATGCATTAAATACTGCAATACTTTTCAGGGGGGCTCCCAGCATCCAAATTAGGTACACCCCACTACATGCCAAGGAGAAAGACCTAAATGATCTATGGGCAGACACAAAATTTCAAAGAACTTCTGTCATCCTGAAACACATCAGTGCATTAACAATTTTCTTAAATGCAAGCGTGTTGCTTTATCTCTGTCCCACCCCACTCTCATGTTAACTTACCTTTGATAAAAGAGACATGAATGGTGCAATCCTATGCATGTCAGAAAGAAGCTCCAGCAACTTCAACGGGACGTATTCCCAGATGCTTGTGTAAGACTGCTGCCTTTAAAAAAAACTGAGCTAGCCAATGTTGTAAATAGCAACCTTATGCAATCAACACTGCTTTGTTTTAATATTCAGAGCTGCCTTAAATAATACACCAACTGCATGAAAAGTTATGTTGAGCACTTTCTTCAACAGCAACATTATTTATCATCCTAAGCGGGCTGGAAAAGAAAAATAATGCTGCTGCTGATCTCCACACTGAAAACCTGGCCATATCCAGTGTGGGATTTTTTTTTCACCCTCTCCCCATTGATACCCTAACACATACCCCAACCAACATACATGCTATTCAGCAACAGATAGCAGAAACAGATAGCAGATACTTTCTGCTGTCACTTGGTAAACGCAGGAGACAACGTGCTTAAATGAAACCACCATATGCAGAACTAATATTTAACCTAACGCACAACTTCTCCCTGGAAGCATGTTCTAGTTCACTTTGTGTCATTTTTGAGAAAATGAAACGAACAGTAGAGGGGAGGGAGGATTCTGAACTCTCACACTTCTTTTAACTTACTAGCTGCCCCTTCGCATTCCAAGCTCAACATTTCATACGCTACCCTTAAACTTGACCAACGATAATCTGTATCTCAGGCACACCAAGACTAGCTGAAGCAGATATATCACACACACAAACAATGCTTGTAAACAGCATGTCTTTCTCACTTACCGTACTTTTCCTAGAAACCACCAGTGTTAAGTTGCATCTCGCAAGTCATTTCACAGTCACACACAACTATGCCACATCTGCCTTTGAACCCTTTGCTGTACTTGTATGCTATTCATTTACTCTTTGCAAGGGATAAATTAGCCTCAGATATTAAAACAGGAGGAGTTCCCAAACACACACACACACACACATTTATGTTTAAAGAAATCAACTCTTTCCTACCAAAATGTTTGTTCCAAGAGCCATTTAGTAGGTGCATTCACAACTGTAATTATTAAGCTTATAGCTACAGAGAAAGAGGCATTTAGAGATGCAGAGTTCTGAATACTCTCTCAAGTAGCAAACGAGAGGGAGAAACTACACTAAGATGACAAAAATAAATTCAGCAAGCAGGGTGGCAAGATGCTGTCAGTAAGGGGGGGGAAACCCTCCCACAGTTATTTTAAAATTAAACAGTTTTTAACTTGTTAGCCTTCACTAGAACCAAAAGTAAAGCAGCGTGAGTTGCTTTCCCCCTTTGCCGATCAGCCGGAGCAGAGGAGGGAGCAAGCTGTTCTATCAGACAGGGTCATAAAATGAATGGGAGACAGGAGACTAAAGCACGCTTAAGGTTCATTCGCTGCATGTAAGCAGCAAACGTGAATATGCTGAGTGATGCCCACAAAATCTCAGCTCACCTACCGTCCTCCTTGTCCAGCACCATCATCTCAGGGTTCAGAGGAAGTCGGGGTGCAGATGCTCTGTCTCCAATAGCCTCCACTCAAGGCAGAAAAGAGCTAGTCTACGTGGGAGCCAAGATGAGCTGCCACGTACGGCTGATTGTCCTCTAGCAGTGAGAGAGCTCTAATTATCCAGTTGTCCAGCTTTTAACCTAGATTGCACTCAGTTAGAATTACCTTCAAAAATGAAGCACTTTGCAGATACAAAAGCAGTCTCACCTACTTTCGTACCTTGGAATTGCAAGGAACTAAAACTGCAATTTAGAAAAAAAGGGGGGGTCAGAGCTGTTTCTTTGGTTCTCACCTTCTAAATGGCTCAATTTGCACAGTATAATCTGTTTTAATGTAATTGCATTTGATAGCCCATAACCTTGGCTGTTGCAACTATACAGCTTTCAGCCTTATAAAGTGTTTTCCCCTTGGATTTAAGCTGAATCTCAATCTAAAATTACACTCAAAGAGAGGGAGGAGGGGGAGAAAAATATCTGAGCCTAGCTACTGCTGCCTCTGCTTCTCCATTTGTGTGAGCTTTGCACCCTTGCTGCTGAATAAATGCACTCATTTCCCAGGGACACCCGCTTATTCTTCTGTCAGGTTTTAATGGAGAATTTAAAGCTTTCCAGCTCAGCAGCACCACCTGC